CAGCAGGAAAGATTTTAGCTTGGCAAAAGGTTAGGAAAGAGACCTTCTCACGGCAGGAAGACTTTTCTCGTGGCGGATTATTTTAATCGGAGAGACCTTTCTCACGGTAGGAAGACTTTTCTCGTGGCGGAAATAATTTCAGTTCGAAAAGAGACCTTGCAGTAGAGAAGATAAGAGAAAAGCAACGTGAAATTATACCTCTTATATACTTTAAAAACGCGTAAATATGGGCACGTGAAGGTTTTACTTTCTTATTTGTTATCTGTTATGACAAAATATGACGTAACAAAAATTTTTGTGGCCCATGATTTGATGGAAAAAACAATATAAAAAGAGTGACTTCATTTATTATGATACACTAGCTTGCATCAAGAATGTCAGTGACATCATTAATTGACGCATCACGTGATATAGTGAATATACTTCACAGTACTTTATTAATGAGCAATGAATACGATAGCTCGTTATATATGATAATTATGAAGTGTTGCAGGTAAGAATAATATTCTATTCCACTTTTATACCATTCTCCATGCAATCTGTGATTCCCATGTTCATCACAAATAGGACATAATGAATACCAATGGCTGGGCAAATGCAAAATTATAATTATCAATTTCTCTAAAGTTATTTCGGAATTTCAAGTATGAAAAAGATTTGATAACTAATTCTGGATCAGGTTTGACTTCGAAAGTGATAAGTCCTTTTTCTTCACATTGCTCAGAAAATATAAACAAGATACTTTGTTTTCAGGTTTAAAATTTATGAGAAAGTGGTTTTTGATAATTACCATGGTTCATGTCCAGTTTCTTTCTTATATTTTTTGTATAAGTTGGAACGAATCTCATCTGTCAAAATACTTGGTAAACCAGTTAATTTGGCATGCATACCAATCCAGATATTTGGGGTTAACGTTTTATAGGACATGTAACAAAATTCTAAACCTTGGATACTTGTAAGCTAGGATAAAAATAAGGTAACATACTATGTCATACGATAATTGTGAAAATTCTTCACACTTCCAACCAAGAAAGACGAGGCAATGTAATAGACTTTGCTCACCACGGCTCCGTACATTATGCATATTTTTTGTGAGGTACATTTTCCCTCGATGATGCAATGAGAATCGATCATGAATAAGCAATGCGAAATTAATGTTTATTGCGCAAAGTGCACATTCGGCTAAAACATGAAAAAAGTAATACAAACATACGATACATCCAGTATATACTATGCCATATAATAATTGCGAAGACCCTTCTCACTTCCAACCAGATTTGGATACAGTAATTTCAAAGACGGAGGATTGTACTTACTGCGCATGATATATTTTTGCAGGCAGAATTTATCAATATCACGTAATTAATAATCGGAAAAAATATTCGATATAAATTTATTAGGTCTCACGAGACGAATTAAGTCACTTTGCAAAGAAAATGACGTATTCTAAAATTATTGGCAGGGCTGAAAAAGCTAATATGCGCAGATTAAATGGTTCACGTTTTCTTCCTGCTACTTAAATTGTAATAATATCCTCCATTGTTATCATCTTCATTGTTATCGAAAGGATCTTTAAAATCATATTCATAGTTGGAATCTTCAGATACGACATCCTCACTACTGAGTTGGGTGCACTCGCCTGTATCTTGACTTCTGATAAATCAGAAACATGAGATTCAATAGTTATATCCATCTCGGTTTCCGATAAAGATTTAGATGCAATAGTATACTCACTATGTGAGACTTCATAGAGGAAGTGGTTATAATACTTATATTAATTTTTGGTAAAACTTGATCTATAATATTTTGAATTGTATGTTAGTCAATCTTGAAATTTCATTTGCACTATATGTAATCAACTTAATTTTATCTATTTGACTTCATTTTCTCTGAATAGCATAAAAAGCTTTCTAGCTATAAGAGTTTTTTTACGCAAGTTATCTTAAGTACTATTAAAAAGAAACAGTTTTGTTTCTTTATAAATCATCGTTCTTGATACTTTGTCTTTGATTTAACATCAGCTGAAATAACATGAATTCTGTTTTTGAATTCAAGAGAGTAATAATATCAGTTTAAGATTTCTTGTTAGTAAGATTTGATTACTATTTTAAATAAATAAGATATAGGCTAAACTAGTTGTTGTTTTTAAACTTGAGCATGTTGTTAGCTGTAAATGATAAACTCTATATATAGTCTATTCTATTTGAACTTTTATTATTTGTCCATGTATGTAAGAGTTCTTGATTATCCCAAAGTTGATACAAGTCTATTAGGTTTTGATTAGTTAAGTAGTTAAATATTTAGGCTTCTGAATCTTCTGCTGAAGTAAATATCTTGCTAAAACTTGTACTTTTGCAATCAAATTTGAAATTGAAAGTAGCATTGAAGTCTTTTACTATGATAATTTGATATTGTTAATGGATTTTATCTTGAATAATTGTTTGGAATTTTTTTTTGAATATCCAATTTTTTTTTATTATAAAAAAAATATGTTTATACTATCCAAGTTTTATGTTTTTTGCTTAAAAAATTAATTACTACTAAGTGATCTTCTAATTTGTCTATATTAGTAATAATTTTTTAGATATTTATAAATTAGTAAAAGAATATTTGCTTTGATTAAATTTTGTAATCTTGAATTTAAAAAGTATTTGTATTGATTCTTATTGTTTCAAAATACAAATAATTAATTGGTTTGAATAAATTTGGTTTTATTTAAGCCTAGAATATCTATTTTGTTTTTTATTATTTTTTGAATTAGAATTTCTTAATTTGTTATATATATAATATTTCTAATATTATAAGTTTTTATTTATAATATATTAGTAATAGTACTGAAAAATAAGTATTTTGATATATTATTATAAGAGTTTGTATATTAATTATTTAAAAATAATTTTTATTAATATTATAAAAATATTATAATATTTTTATTAAGTAATTAATTATATAATTTATAAAAAAGTTTTGAATTTAAGATATTAGATATATTGATTAACAAGTGATTTTTTTCTGAAGAATTTGTTTCCAATAGATTTTTTAATGATTTATTTTCTTCAATATTGGATTTGAATTGAACTAATATGTTTTTTAAAAAAAAGTATAAAAATTTTCTACTATTTCTTTTGTTTTCTAATTTTGTTAACCTAGTATTAATAGTTTTCAATATAGTATAAATTATGTTTTATTAATTAAATAATTCTAATATATTGAAATTAAATATTGTTTGTTTTGCGATGAATTGTTTATTCTTTTCTTTTTTGTTTTCTTGACTATAATTACTTTAAGTTTTCTTATATTTTGCAAAAATATATATATATATTTTATATTAAAATAATAAAAATAATTTTTATTTTTTGTTTTAAGATCTTGTATTTAAGATTTTGAAATTTTATCTTGATATTTATATATTTTGATATTGTTCTTAATACTCTATTAAATTTTGTATTCAAATAATTTTATATATAATAAGAAGAATTTATTTAAGTTATTTGAATCTTTAAATTCTATAATAGTAAAGCTTTTTTTTTATCAGTTTTGCTGTTAGGAAAAAGTATACTGTTTTGATTTTTAGATACTTTGTTATATTTATAATTATAAAGCTAATAATGATTTTTCAATACTACATAATCTAATTATAATTTTGTTATATTCCAAAAAAGAAACTTAATAGTTAATAAGAAATATTCTTTTATAAAAATTGCTCAAATATTATTTATATCATTTTTTGTAAATTGAAAAGAAAATATAATATTATTAAAATTGTTATTTTTTTTATTGTTTTAAATAATTTAATTTTTTTATATTTACTAAAAATATTTTGTATTTTATTAGATAGTATATATATTGAAATATCTATAAAAATATATTGTTTTGATATTGATTGAATATTTTAATAAAGTATATATATATATATTGTTGTTAAATCTATAGTTATTATGATATTCTATAATTATATATTATATAATAGTTATTGTTTATATTTGTAAATATTAGTTATATTGATAAAAAAAGACTTATCTATTTATTTTTTTCTATTGCTATAACTTGTATTCTTTTATATTCTATCAATACTTTTAATATATTGATTATTTATTATAGTTAATTTTTTTTTACTAATATATAGAAGTAAGTTATATCTGATTTAAAATTATATTTGACCTTGTTTATTAATTAAATTATATAAATTATAAATATTATTTTTTTTTTTTTCTATAGAAATTTTATATTTAAAATCTTTTTCTTTATTGTTAATATTGTTATTTTAAATAATATTAAAGTTTTATATTGTAATTAATTGAAATTTTTCTTTGTTTTTAAACATATTTATATATTTTATATTATTCTTTTCATATTTGAAATAAATAGTATATTAGCTATTTTCATTAAAAAAAATAATTACTGTATATAAGATAATATTTGTCTAAAATGAATTTAAATATATTCATCATGTATTTAATTTTTTTTAATTTGTTTTTTTCTAATATATTTAC